TGTTCCGCGTCACCCCTGATTCGAGAGCGAAGGTCGTCGATGTATCGATATGTCGATAGGCTCGATGAAAGAAAACGTATCAAGTCCGGGTCAAGAGCTTCCCCGAGTTAATCTCGCTTCGCGATTTTCTAACCCGTTTTTTAATTTCTACAAACTACTACCACTCGACGATATTTCCTCAATTTTCTTCCTTTTTCTTTTTCTTTTAATACAAATGTAAAAAATACTTTGGCGAATATTATTAATCGATATAACGATCATTCCATGTTTCACGTAACGTACCAATGTAACAATTATTCTATAATTTCAAATTAATCATAACACAACAATAATTCTACGAAATATCAATTTCAGAAGTAAAAAAAAAAAAAAAAATACGAAATAACAATTCTACGTATAAAAGAGTGATTTCTACGTACTGCGACCGAGAAAGTTGATTGCAATCACAAATCACGCGAACCGTACACGCTTCGAGGGCAGAATTTAATATTTATCTGTCCCGAGAACCGAAGAAGTGTTAATAGTTCCGTTCGACGGAATCTCGCTGCGGCTTGACCCGGGCTACACGTCTTTTGCTTCTTGTGGGATGTCAAAAGAGCTCTACGAATTTTACGATGACAATAGGAACGGGCACGATGTATCTCATGGGGTTGTCGGCTCTACTTTATAGATACTGTATGCCACACGAGGAAGCTTACGTGTACACTGCAAGATACGACCGAATCTCAGATGCTCCCCCCTTTCCCCCTCTGTCTCTCTCTCTCTCTTTCACTCTGTTTCATTTCGACCAAACCGCCTCAAAGTAGTCAAATTCCTCGTACCGCTTCGTCGAACGACAGTCAGGTCTCTGACGCTCGTTAATAAAAAACAAAAACAAAAACAAAAAAAAAACTTTTGCTGCAACGTCGAGTCAGACGTTGTCTGATTTCACTTCGACTCACGTTCGATCAAGCGGCACGCGCGTACCTCGCCTCTCGGCTTACACGTGCCCGAGTTTCATCGCGAGACCTCTCGTTAACAAATGACCCATCGCGCGTTTGCTAACAAACTGACCCAGTAAATGGAAACCCTCGACCTCCTTTCCCCTTTCCTTTTTTTTCTTTTTTTTTTTTTTTTTGATCTTTTCCCTCCACAAACAGTTTCAACATCGGAGACAGAGAGAGAGAGAGAGAGAGAGAGAGAGAGAGAGAGAGCAAAGAAAAAGAAAAGACCGATTTTCGGAGTGGAGAGGGCACGCGGAGTGGAAAATCGGGCAAACGAAAGGCAGAGAGAGAGAGAGAGAGAGAGAGAGAGAGCCGGTGGCGACCAAACACGCAGGGTAGAGGTTCCCAAGGGTTTGTTTTTAAGGGTACTACTACTGACCTGCTATACTATAGAGGGAGACCGAGCTGTCTCTAGAGAAGCGAGCCGAGCCCCCGAGGCTTCCAAGGGGACTCTTACCACACTGGTAGCTGCGAAGCGGCTTGGCCGGCGGCACCCCGCCACCACCTATCCAACCATCCGGAAAACCAAACAAAAACCAATGTACCCAGCTGTACTCCGGTGGCACGGTTCTCTTCGCGTTTCTCCCTCGCGTTTGCTAATCCGCGATCCGCCAAACTGCAACGACGACTGAACGCCTCGCGATAACGAAAGGCCAGGGCAGTTTGGCGTAACACGACGAATTAGTGGTCACATTATATATATATA